CAAGGGTTGTATTTTCAGAATGTTTGGGAATGAGTGTGTGTGGACTCACCAGAGTGTTTAATTATCCTGTTTCATTCAGTATTAGTAACCTAGTGATTGAACAGTAATGAACACCACTTTATCAGTGCTACATATTAATTTACCACTAAACGCAAGTGATTTTACTTCACTAACTAAAGCGAAACTGTACCATTTCAAATGATATGCTCATCTTTACGTTTAATTATACAATTAATATATTTATTATGAGCATCAACAAGGGAATATCAAAAATAAGCTACAGTGTAGAGACCCAGGCCGGCTCACAGATACATGAGACTAGTGTTACATGTTGGGTCTGCGCTCGCAGGCCCAACATGTAACACAAGACTTATCACCAGTGAACAAAGCAAGACAAACAGCGATCCATTTTAACTTGCAAGGGAAGCCTGGTTGGAACCAGGCTCTTGGAGATGGAGAAACAGGTGGAGATGCTCCTCACCTTTTTCCCAGCCAACTTCAAAGAACAGCCTTCCCTGCAGCCTTTTATTCAGTAAATACAAGCACCACCCACTGTAACACCCATGTGGTCACAATACGAGGTTAGTCATTCATATACTGCTGCATGGGCTGGGCTGTAGTTACATCCTAAGGTTTTAAAAACTGAGCTTAAATAAATGATTAGTGGTAATAAAAGCCGAGGGAGGTCAACAGTGATCACTGACTGTTTTAGGAGCTTTTTGAGATTAAATAGCAGAAAATACAAAACATAAAACATGTTAACAACACAAAAGCCATATTAAACGCAGACTACTTTAGACCCGGAAGTAGGATTCGTCACGTCATCACTGAACAACCGGATTGAAGAGCTGGAAGATTACTGTAGAACAGTTCCACACACTTTACCTGAACAGATGATGACATCATCACTTTTTCAGCAAAGCTCTCAGATGAGCTGAATAAATTTCACCAACTCAAATGTAGTCTATTCAGAGCACCTCAGGCACCAAAACAAAACAGTGAAGAGGTGCTGGTTACACAGCAGAGGAGATGATGGAGGCTCACACTCACTGACGTCTGTCTGTATATGTTCTGCTCTCAGTTCTCCAGCCAGGGGTGGTGGAGGTGTCACAGGGGAAGGAGTCTGTCCTGCTGCCCTTTAAAATCACAGCTGACCTTCCTCAGGAGGTGAGGGTGGAGTGGACACACAACTACATGAAGGTCCATGTGTATGAGAGTGGAAACAATCAGCCAGATAATCAGGACCAGGTTTACAGAGGTCGCACAGAGATGAACAATGACCCGCTGAAAACTAAAGACTTCAGTCTGACCCTGAAAGACCTCCACCTCACTAACAGTGGAGTTTACACCTGCACCGTCTACAACAAGGATGGAGACATCCTGCTACAGAAAGTAATAATTCTCAGTGTCAGAGGTGAGTGTAACAGCTGTTTGTTCAGAATAAATGAAAACTGGAGTGAAGAGCTGCTGGTTACACAGCAGAGGAGACGATGGGGGCTCACACTCACTCACTGACGTCTGTCTGTACATGTTCTGCTCTCAGCTCTCCAGCCAGAGGTGGTGGGCGTGACACAGGGCATGAAGTTTGTCCTGCTGCCCTTTAAAACCACACCCAACCTTCCTGAGTACATCACAGTGGAATGGAGACTCACTGCATACAAACACATGAAGGTCCACGCGTATGAGAGTGGAAGAGATCAACCAGACAATCTGGACCAGGACCAGGTTTACAGAGGTCGCACAGAGATGAAGGAAGACTCATTGAGAACTGGAGACTTCAGTCTGACCCTGAAAGACCTCCAACTCACTGACAGTGGAGTCTACACCTGCACCGTCTACAACAAGGATGGACTCATGCTGCTACAGAAATCAGTGACTCTCAGAGTCAGAGGTGAGTGTAACAGCTGTTTGTCCAATTACAAATCGTCCATGAATAAGATCCAATCAAACAGCCTGTGATGCATCACGGAGATGTTGCGTAGTGCACTCCAGAGTCCATACAAAGGTTTGGTGTTCACGAGTTTGATCCATGTAGTGCAGCAGAGAGACGGTGGCTCCTGCTGCCTGTCTTTGCTCTAATAAAAACCACAAACTCTTCATGGAGGTAAGATCAATGTCTTTTATCTGGATAACCACAGGGAGGAGTTTTCACTGCAAACACACATTCTTACAGCAAGTGTTAAAGAGCACACAACATCATATATAACACAACACAGTGAGTCTTCCACACACTGTGCACTGATGTGCTCTACGAACAATCTACAGTCCATTACAGAAAATATTTCGAGCAATTCCGAGATATTCTAATACAGGGGTGTCCAACTCCAGGCCTCAAGGGCCGGTGTGCTGCAGGTCTTAGATGTGTCCTTGATTCAACAGCTAATTTAAATGGATAAATTACCTTCTCAACATGTCTTGAAGTTCTCCAGAAGCCTGGTAATGAACTAATCATTCGATTGAGGTGTGTTGATCCAGGCCTTGAGTTGCCCACCCCTGTTTTAATACAAAGAGTTGGTTTGTTCCATCATTGGTAGAATGATCTCTGAAAACATCTCAAACTTTGTGTGTAAAACAATGTCTGGAATGATACAGCACACCAACATCAAAGACAGAATCAGTATTTGGTTTGCAATTCAGACTCTATTAAAAAACATGAATAATAACTTTTTTTCTACTGTGTGAAGATCTCTTCCTCAGTGGAGTGGAGACTCACTGAACCTGAAGGGAAGATGGTCCATGTGTATAAGAGTGGAAAATATCAGCCAGACAAACAAGACCAGGATTACAGAGAAAGTCTTTCACCTTACTGACAGTTTTATATGTCTGGCCCTCCGTCAGAAAATCTCCTGGCTCCAGGAAGTTCAGACCTTATCCTCTACAACGAGTCCTCTAGATGTAAATGATATTGTCTGTCTATCTATGTTCTTCTCTGTTTTCTCTTCAGAGTACCAGGTGGAGATGGTGGAGGTGACACAGGGGAAGGAGTCTGTCCTGCTGCCCTTTAAAGCTACAGCTGACCTTCCTCAGGACATCACCGTGAAGTGGAGACTCACTGAACCCAAACACATGATGGTCCATGCGTATGAGAGTGGAAGCAATCAGCCAGACAAACAGGACGAGGAATACAGAGGTCGCACAGAGACGAATGAAGATCCACTGAGAACTGGAGACCTCAGTCTGACCCTGAAAGACCTCCGCCTCACTGACAGTGGAGTCTACACCTGCACCATCTACAACAAGGATGGACTCATGCTGACACAGAAATCAGTGACTCTCAGTGTGAGAGGTGAGTGTAACAGCTGTTTGTCCAAGTTAAATGAAAACAGGAGTGAAGAGCTTTACCCCGGTTCTTTTTTTATTCCTCGGGCATCCAGAGACGGCACCGGACTCAGTAGTTATTTCACAAAACCTTTATTCATCTTTATTTAGGCCTGCATTCTTCTAGAAGGGAAGAGGTGCCAGGCCGGTGTCCCTCTGCAGATCTTCACTGCTTTGTCTGTGAAAGACAGCTTTATAGAAGTGACCCCATCATAAAACCCCCACGGTGTGCTGCAAACTCTGTGTCTGTATGTGTATGCACAAGCACATGAGTGAGTGTATGCGCATACCTGTGCGTATGTGTGTGCACGTGAGTGTGCATGTAGGTGCATCATAACAGTCAAAGCACTATGTGTGTGTGTCTCTGTGCACGTGACTTCCTGCCGGTCATAAAAGTAATCTCCTCACCCAAGCTACACCAAATTCTTTTAGACAACATACAAAACAGAGTTAACAAACTGCAAACACTGAGACTCCCACTCTGCATCCACTGGGCCATTGGCCTCTTGTTGTCTTACATTTACAGATCAGGTGGAGAGTCTCCTGCAAACCTGCTTCTAAGTTATGGCAATTATGAGTTTTTATTAAAGGTACAAGCATCAGCAACCCCCCAACTGTAGCTTCCTGACTCTTTTTATGACACCAGACCATAAATTCCTTTCTCTCTACACAATTACACACGCTCTCAGGCTACAGCTAAGCCAAACTGAAACACAGAGACAAATCCTTTCCTATTCCTGTGATCTAAACAAATTTAACACATTACATTCTAATAATTATTTTCTTGTACTCACACCTGCTAATATGGGCTCAAATTGTGGTCATAATTATTTTGTACTAGTAAATCAGGATTTGTGTGTGTTAAACGAATTTGTGTGTGCATAAAAAAAGATTTGTGTGTACTTAGCCAAAAAATACGTGTGAAACTCTGCCCTCAAGTTTCAAGTTACAACTATAAATTTTGACCCCATTTTTCTTCCTTTCATCTGATTGGTTAATGTCATGTCAATCACAAATGTAACAATCCAATCAGAGAGCAGATGGGTTTGGCTGTCGGAGGGGCACTTTCTTTGAACTGCAGGTCCTTGAAGGGTCATACAGTTTGAAGCTGGATGATCTCTATATAAATATCCGATAGTAGCTAGGTCCCCTAACTTTCAGCAGCTGAAAGGATAAAGTTGTGGTATGTCAGTGGTTAGAAATACCATTATTACTTTAGGATTAGTTTAATACACAGTCAGGGCTGACCTGGGACAACTGCTGTGAGTCACAGTGCGCAGCATAAAGGTCCTTTCACATCGGACGCAGGATGTGCTGCCAGGGCTGGACTGGGACAAAAAATCGGCCCGGGCATTTTGACTAGAGACCGGCCCACCAGGATAAAGATTGAAAATGTGACGTCATTCAGGGGTAAAAACGCAAAGGATTCTGGGAACTTGTGGCAAGAGGTACTAGCGCACGCAGGCGTTCAATTGAACTCAGTTACACAGCGATAAAAAGAAACCCAAAAAATGGCAAGAAGCTGTTGTATTATTAACTGCAATAGCTGGTCGCATGACAGCCACAGGAAGCCGACGGGTAGAGAGATCGTTTTTTTTAATCGGATTACATCGTTGAAGAGAAATTTTTTTTAAGCCATGTTTCTGAAGTAAGAGCCGACGGATGGTCTGGATATACCAAATATAACATCTCAGAACACTCCAGCTCACAAGTTA